CGTCGTCGTCGCAGCAGCAGCAGATTTGTCGTTAGTCTTCAGGCTCTCTCCAGCAGTGGCGGCTGCAACAACACTATTTTGGGCCTTCTTCTCCGGCTCGGCAGCAGCAGCTTTAGTGAGCGGCGTCGTAGCTTTGCTGCTGCTGATCACTTTGGCATCTGCTGCTACCGTTTTTTCTTCGTCAGGAGTAGCAGCGGTTGGCTTCTGCTGTGGTTCACCAGTAGCTGCTGCTACTGTTTTTGACGTTGCGTTCTTCGTCGCTGTCGCATTGGTCAACTGTTGTACCTCCTCATTGTTGCTCTCCTGTGAAACGCTACTACTGCGAGAATTGTTGGTGTTGTTGTTTTTNCGCATTGGTCAACTGTTGTACCTCCTCATTGTTGCTCTCCTGTGAAACGCTACTACTGCGAGAATTGTTGGTGTTGTTGTTTTTGTTGTTGTTTGTGGTGGTGGTTGTGGTGGTGTTGTTGTTGTTGTTGTTGTTGCTGATGGTGGTAGTTGTGTTGGTGGTGGTGGCTGTAGGTGTGGCGGAGGTGGTGCTGCTCGAAGTGGCTTGTGGCTTGCTCTTCGATTTTTCAAACTTCATCAGATCAATCACATTGCCGTGCTCATCCAGCACAGTGGCCATCTGTCTGGGCTTGTTGTGTGTCAACGGCCTCGGCTCGGGATACTTTATCGGCGGTGGCGGCTGCTGTGGCGGTGGCGGCTGCTGCTGCTGAGGCGGCTGCTGCTGTTGCTGCTGCATCTGCTGCATCTGAGGCGGATGAGGCTGTTGCTGCTGCTGTTGTTGCTGCTGCTGGGACTGCTGCTGCTGGTAGACACTGGCGTTCGGGTTCATCATCTCACTTGGCGGAATATTGTTCGACATTATTGGTGCTTGGCTCTGCTGCTGGTAGCCACGTGCCGACTGGGCTTGTTGAAGTTGTTGTTGGTCTGTGTGTAGAGGGAGAGAAAGAGAGAGAGAAGTTGTCAGATGATAACGAATAATAAGCAAACAACAAGCAAACACTTACAAACTTCTATCTGGTAGGGATTAAGATGAGCATAGGGCTGTAGAAGGGTGAAAAGAAAGATATCAATAAAAGAAGAAGGAAACAAGAGAAAAGGGTATATTTACGGGTACTCTTTGTCCTAGTCCACCTACCATCATCTGCTGTGATGGAAGGTATATCTGCATTGGATTGTGACTCGGATGCTGATACGGCATAGTGTAGTACTGCATCGGAGGCATTCGGTTCGCCTGCATGGACATCTGGGGAGGGCCGCCGCCGAGGCCGCCGCCGGCGGCGTTCTGTCGATGTGAGAGGTTCGCCGCGGCCACACCGGCATGCTGGTGCTGGTGCTGATGCGGGTGCTGGTGGTGAATCTGCTGCTGGTGATTCGCCATCGCCTGCTGGTGCGGATGCGCCTGCTGGTGCTGCTGGTGGGCGGCGGCGGCGGAGGCGGCGGCTGCCTGCTGCGCCGCCGTCACCTGTGAGTTGTGGTGCATGGAGTTGTTGCCTCGGTGTGAGCTGTTGGAGCTGTTGACCTGTCCCGCGTTGGGGTGTTGCATCGAATTGTTGCCGCGGTGCTGAGAGGCGGCGGCGGCGGTGGCGGCGGCCAGCGCGGCCGCCTGCTGCTGCTGCTGGTGCACCAGCGCCGGCGGAAATGAGGGCGGGTGAGCGGCGTACTGGGGCCGGTGTGGCGGCTGCATGCCCGCCACCCGGTTCGGGCCCGGGCCCATGTAGGTCTGAAAGGGCGCCTGGCCGCGGATGCCGGTCATGTGCGGCGGCAGCGACTGCTGCTGGCCCGGTCCGCCGGGATGCGCCTGCGGGCCGCCGATCTTCGGCTGGGCCGCCTGCGGCTGGTAGATGCTGGCGTTGGCGTTCAGCATCTCATTTGGTGGAATATTCGCCATCTTGGGGCTAGTGGGTACTCTGCGCCTGTCGGGGACCCTCGTTCTTGCGTGGCGTTCTGAGTGGGGTCTTCGGGAGGGAGGGAGAGAGTGAGGGAGAGGAGGAAGGAGGAAAGAGTGTAAGGTGAGCCAAGGGAACACGTCATAGAGAAGAGTGTCAAACTGCCGCCGATCCGACCGCTGTTGTTGTTGCTCTCCTTCCGGAGGCGGGGCACCTACCTGGGGATACTTCCAATTGAGATAGGGAGTCCGGGGTGAAGTATTTCGAACGTGTGTATCCTGTACCTCTGGGCAAGGATAGCGGATAGCGGAGAAGATTTGGTCGGTAAGGTTTACTTGCTGCTTTTGCTCGCTTTCACTCTGCGATTCCTTTCCAGCCAGCGAGGAGCGTGGCAGTGTGCGCCGAGTGTGAGGAGAGCATGAGCGCCTGCTTTGTCTGTTTCAATCGCCTCGGCCGCCTTTCCCAGTGCTACTCGCCGGCCTATTGGCTCCTCCCACTGGAAACAGAGACGCACGTCAGGAAGAGAGCGGGAAGCAGTGCAGGCGTGCAAGAGGCGCCTGTTCTCTGCACTGCAGCAGCAGCGGCAGGCGGGCTGCCGGGAAGATCTGTTTGTCTTGATCTGCGCTAGGTGTCACTCTCTGAGGTGGCTGACTTTTTGCAGGGGGCTGGCAAATGTTATGAAGCCGCTGTCAGCGTGCTTTTCACGGGAAAAGAGCCACGCACAGAAGCTGTAACCTGTACGGGCTCAAAGTGTAGCGGCAAAACTAGCAACATTTTGTAATCCTCGAAAAAATCAGTCCACCGCCGACGAATCTCCCTTACGATGGATCGATGTAGCGATTGAGAGAGCGAGTGAGATAGAAGGCTGCCGTTGCCGGCTGCTGCCAAAATACCAGAGATACATGAGATAGAAAGAGAAAAAGAGTGATGGTCAGTAAACAGACTAAACAGAAACATGAGAGCATCAACATCGTAAGACATCGGTTTCCACTACTATTCCACTACCATTGCGTCACCACTTCCGTTGCACAACACACCGGTGAACGAAGCAAGCCACGTGTGTGAGTGAGACGTGACGAAAAAGAGGCGGTATCGAAACGGGAGAAGAGAGAGAGACAGTCAGAGATTCTCTCACACTCTTGTGCTCTGTCGTTGCTGTGCATTGGTGCGCTGCTATTGTTTGCCAACNTGATCGTGAGAGAGCAGCTGCTCGATATACCTTTAACTGGCATTCAGCACCCCCCCCTCGTGTTGACAGCACTTCCCTTTCCGGTTTGCAGCTCATCTTTGCCCACTGCTGGCATTTCGACAACGTTAGTCACTGCTGCTGCTGCAGACAGCGACACCGTCAGAGACAGTTTTTCCTCCTCTTCTTTCTCTGTCATGAACACAGCAGTAGTACTGGTAGAAGTACTTTGCTCCTCTCTCCCGTCTAAACTCGTTTCACCTGTCTGACTGTCTCTGACGGTGTCTGTCTGTCTGTACAGGCGCCACCAGCACTGTCACCGCCGCCGTCGCCGATTTAGTCTCCTCTCCTCTCTTCTCGATCCGATTACTACGGTAA